TGGGGCGGGGTGAATGGGGCGGGGTGATGGAAAGCGGAAGAATGAGGCGGGGTGATGGAAAGCGGGAGAATGGGGCGGGGTGATGGAAAGCGGGAGAATGGGGCGGGGTGATGGAAAGCGGGAGAATGGGGCGGGGTGATGGAAAGCGGGAGAATGGGGCGGTGTGATGGAAAGAGGGAGAATGGGGAGGAGTGATGGAAAGAGGGAGAATTGGGCGGGGTGATGGAAAGCGGGAGAATGGAGCGGGGTGATGGAAAGCGGGAGAACGGGGTGTGGTGATGGAAAGCGGGAGAATGGGGCGGGGTGATGGAAAGCGGGAGAATGGGGCGGGGTGATGGAAAGAGGGAGAATAGGGCGGGGTGATGGAAAGAGGGAGAATGGGGCGGGGTGATGGAAAGCGGGAGAATGGGGCGGGGTGATGGAAAGCGGGAGAATGGGGAGGGGTGATGGAAAGCGGGAGAATTGGGCGGGGTGATGGAAAGCGGGAGAATGGGGCGGGGTGATGGAAAGAGGGAGAATAGGGCGGGGTGGTGGATAGAGGGAGAATGGGGCGGTGTGATGGAAAGCGGGAGAATGGGGCGGGGTGATGGAAAGAGGGATAATGAGGCGGGGTGATGGAAAGTGGGAGAATGTGGTGGGGTGATGGAAAGAGGGAGAATGGGGAGGGGTGATGGAAAGAGGGAGAATTGGACGCGGTGATGGAAAGCCGGAGAATGGAGCGGGGTGGTGGAAAGCGGGAGAATGGGGCGGGGTGATGGAAAGAGGGAGAATGGGGCGGGGTGATGGAAAGCGGGAGAATTGGGTGGGGTGATGGAAAGAAGGAGAATGGGGCTGGGTGATGGAAAGCGGGAGAATGGGGCAGGGTGATGGAAAGAGGGAGAATAAAGGGGGGTGATGGAAAGCGGGAGAATGGGGCGGGGTGATGGAAAGCGGGAGAATGGGGTGGGGTGATGGAAAGCGGGAGAATGAGGCGGGTTGATGGAAAGCGGGAGAATGGGGCGGGGTGATGGAAAGCGGGAGAATGGGGTGGGGTGATGGAAAGAGGGAGAATGTTGCGGGGTGATGGAAAGAGGGAGAATAGGGCGGGGTTATGGAAAGAGGGAGAATGGGGCGAGGTGATGAAATAGCGGGAGAATGGGGCGGGGTGATGGAAAGCGGGAGAATGGGGCGGGGTGATGGAAAGAGGGAGAATGGGGCGGGCTGATGGAAAGAGGGAGAATGGGGCGGGGTGATGGAAAGCGGTAGAATGGGGCGGGGCGATTGAGAGCGGGAGAATGGGGCGGGATGATAGAAAGCGGGAGAATGGGTCGGGGTGATGGAGAGAGGGAGAATGGGGCGGGGAGATGGAAAGAGGGAGAATGGGGCGGGGTGATGGAAAGCGGAAGAATGGGGCGGGGTGATGGAAAGCGGGAAAATGGGGCGGGGTGATGGAAAGCGGGAGAATGGGGCGGGGAGATGGAAAGCGGGAGAATGGGGCGGGGTGATGGAAAGAGGAAGAAAGGGGCGGGGTGATGGAAAGCGGGAGAATGGGGCGGGATGATGGAAAGCGTGAGAATGGGGCAGGGGTGATGGAAAGAGGGAGAATGGGGCGGGGTGATGGAAAGCGGGAGAATGGGGCGGGGTAATGGAAAGCGGGAGAATGGGCCGGGGTGATGGGAAGAGGGAGAATAGGGCGGGGTGATGGAAAGAGGGAGAATGGGGCGGGGTGATGGAAAGAGGGAGAATGGGGCGGGGTGATGGAAAGCGGGAGAATGGGGCGGGGTGATGGAAAGCGGGGTGATGGAAAGCGGGAGAATGGGGCGGGGTGATAGAAATAGGGAGAATAGGGCGGGGTGATGGAGAGCGGGAGAATGGGGCAGGCTGATGGAAAGAGGGGGAATGGGGCGGGGTGATGGAAAGAGGGAGAATGGGACGGGGTGATGAAAAGCGGAAGAATGGGGCGGGGCGATGGAAAGAGGAAGGATGGGGTGGGGTGATGGAAAGAGGGAGAATGGGGCGGGGTGATGAAAAGAGGGAGAATGAGGCGGGGTGATGGAAAGCGGGAGAATGGGGCGGGGTGATGGAAAACGGGAGAATGGGGTGGGGTGATGGAAAGCGGGAGAATGGGGCGGGGTGATGGAAAGCGGGAGAATGGGGCGGGGTGATGGAAAGAGGGAGAAAGGGGCGGGGTGATGGAAAGCGGGAGAATGGGGCGGGGTGATGGAAAGCGGGAGAATGGGGCGGGGTGATGGAAAGCGGGAGAATGGGGCGGGGTGATGGAAAGCGGGAGAATGGGGCGGGGTGATGGAAAGCGGGAGAATGGGGCGGGGTGATGGAAAGCTTGAGAATAGGGCAGGGTGATGGAAAGCGGGAGAATGGAGCGGAGTGATGGAAAGTGGGAGAACGGGGCGGGGTGATGGAAAGCGGGAGAATGGGGCGGGGTGATGGAAAGCGGGAGAATGGGGCGGGGTGATGGAAAGCGGGAGAATGGGGCGGGGTGATGAAAAGCGGAAGATTGGGGCAGGGTGAAGAAAAGCGGGAGAATGGGGCGGGCTGATGGAAAGAGGGGGAATGGGGCGGGGTGATGGAAAGAGGGAGAATGGGGCAGGATGATGAAAAGCGGAAGAATGGGGTGGGGTGATGGAAAGAGGGAGAATGGGGCGGGGTGAAGAAAAGCGGGAGAATGGGGCGGGTTGATGGAAAGAGGGAGAATGGGGCGGGGTGAATGGGGCGGGGAGATGGAAAGCGGAAGAATGGGGCGGGGTGATGGAAAGCGGGAGAATGGGGCGGGGTGATGGAAAGCGGGAGAATGGGGCGGGGTGATGGAAAGCAGGAGAATGGGGCGGGGTGATGGAAAGCGGGAGAATGGGGCGGGGTGATGGAAAGCGGGAGAATGGGGCGGGTTGATGGAAAGCGGGAGAATGGGGCGGGGTGATGGAAAGCTGGAGAATGGGGCGGGGTGATGGAAAGCGGGAGAATGGGGCGGGGTGATGGTAAGCTGGAGAATGGGGCGGGGTGATGGAAAGCGGAAGAATGGGGCGGGGTGATGGAAAAAGGGAGGATGGGGCGGGGTGATGGAAAGAGGGAGAATGGGGCGGGGTGATGGAAAGAGGGAGACTGGGGCGGGGTGATGGAAAGTGGGAGAATGGGGCGGGGTGATGGAAAGCGGGAGATTGGGCCGGGTGACGGAAAGCGGGAGAATGGGGCGGGTTGATGGAAAGTGGGAGATTGGAGCGGGGTGATGGAAATAGGGAGAATGGGCCGGGGTGATGGAAAGCGGGAGAATGGGGCGGGGTGGTGGAAAGAGGGAGAATGGGGCGGGGTGATGAAAAGAGGGAGAATGGGGCGGGATGATGGAAAGCGGGAGAATGGGGCGGGGTGATGGAAAGCGGGAGAATAGGGCGGGGTGATGGGAAGCAGGAGAATGGGGCGGGTTGATGGAAAAAGGGAGAATAGGCCGGGGTGATGGAAAGCGGGAGAATGGGGCGGGGTGATGGAAAGCGGGAGAATGGGGCGGGGTGATGGAAAGCGGGAGAATGGGGCGGGGTGATGGAAAGCGGGAGAATGGGGCGGGGTGATGGAAAGCTTGAGAATAGGGCAGGGTGATGGAAAGCGGGAGAATGGGGCGGAGTGATGGAAAGTGGGAGAACGGGGCGGGGTGATGGAAAGCGGGAGAATGGGGCGGGGTGATGGAAAGCGGGAGAATGGGGCGGGGTGATGGAAAGCGGGAGAATGGGGCGGGGTGATGAAAAGCGGAAGATTGGGGCAGGGTGAAGAAAAGCGGGAGAATGGGGCGGGCTGATGGAAAGAGGGGGAATGGGGCGGGGTGATGGAAAGAGGGAGAATGGGGCAGGATGATGAAAAGCGGAAGAATGGGGTGGGGTGATGGAAAGAGGGAGAATGGGGCGGGGTGAAGAAAAGCGGGAGAATGGGGCGGGTTGATGGAAAGAGGGAGAATGGGGCGGGGTGAATGGGGCGGGGAGATGGAAAGCGGAAGAATGGGGCGGGGTGATGGAAAGCGGGAGAATGGGGCGGGGTGATGGAAAGCGGGAGAAAGGGGCGGGGTGATGGAAAGCGGGAGAATGGGGCGGGGTGATGGAAAGCGGGAGAATGGGGCGGGGTGATGGAAAGCGGGAGAATGGGGCGGGGTGATGGAAAGCGGGAGAATGGGGCGGGGTGATGGAAAGCGGGAGAATGGGGCGGGGTGATGGAAAGCTTGAGAATAGGGCAGGGTGATGGAAAGCGGGAGAATGGGGCGGAGTGATGGAAAGTGGGAGAACGGGGCGGGGTGATGGAAAGCGGAAGAATGGGGCGGGGTGATGGAAAGCGGGAGAATGGGGCGGGGTGATGGAAAGCGGGAGAATGGGGCGGGGTGATGAAAAGCGGAAGATTGGGGCAGGGTGAAGAAAAGCGGGAGAATGGGGCGGGCTGATGGAAAGAGGGGGAATGGGGCGGGGTGATGGAAAGAGGGAGAATGGGGCAGGATGATGAAAAGCGGAAGAATTGGGTGGGGTGATGGAAAGAGGGAGAATGGGGCGGGGTGAAGAAAAGCGGGAGAATGGGGCGGGTTGATGGAAAGAGGGAGAATGGGGCGGGGTGAATGGGGCGGGGAGATGGAAAGCGGAAGAATGGGGCGGGGTGATGGAAAGCGGGAGAATGGGGCGGGGTGATGGAAAGCGGGAGAATGGGGCGGGGTGATGGAAAGCGGGAGAATGGGGCGGGGTGATGGAAAGCGGGAGAATGGGGCGGGGTGATGGAAAGCGGGAGAATGGGGCGGGTTGATGGAAAGCGGGAGAATGGGGCGGGGTGATGGATAGCTGGAGAATGGGGCGGGGTGATGGAAAGCGGGAGAATGGGGCGGGGTGATGGTAAGCTGGAGAATGGGGCGGGGTGATGGAAAGCGGAAGAATGGGGCGGGGTGATGGAAATAGGGAGGATGGGGCGGGGTGATGGAAAGAGGGAGAATGGGGCAGGGTGATGGAAAGAGGGAGAATGGGGCGGGGTGATGGAAAGAGGGAGACTGGGGCGGGGTGATGGAAAGTGGGAGAATGGGGTGGGGTGATGGAAAGCGGGAGAATGGGGCCGGGTGACGGAAAGCGGGAGAATGGGGCGGGATGATGGAAAGTGGGAGATTGGAGCGGGGTGATGGAAATAGGGAGAATGGGCCGGGGTGATGGAAAGCGGGAGAATGGGGCAGGGTGGTGGAAAGAGGGAGAATGGGGCGGGGTGATGAAAAGAGGGAGAATGGGGCGGGATGATGGAAAGCGGGAGAATGGGGCGGGGTGATGGAAAGCGGGAGAATAGGGCGGGGTGATGGGAAGCAGGAGAATGGGGCGGGGTGATGGAAAAAGGGAGAATAGGCCGGGGTGATGGAAAGCGGGAGAATGGGGCGGGGTGATTAAAAGCGGGAGAATGGGGCGGGGTGATGGAAAGCGGGAGAAGGGGGCGGGGTGATGGAAAGCAGGAGAATGGGGCGGGGTGATGGAAAGCTTGAGAATGGGGCGGGGTGATGGAAAGCGGGAGAATGGGGCGGGGTGATGGAAAGCGGGAGAATGGGGCGGGGTGATGGAAAGCGGGAGAATGGGGCAGGGTGATGGAAAGCGTGAGAATGGGGCAGGGTGGTGGAAAACGGGAGAATAGGGCGGGGTGATGGAAAGCGGGAGAATGGGGCGGGATGATGGAAAGCGGGAGAATGGCCGGGGTGATGGAACGCGGGAGAAAGGGGTGGGGTGATGGAAAGTGGGAGAGTGGGGCGGGGTGATGGAAAGAGGGAGAATAGGGTGGGGTGATGGAAAGAGGGAGAATGGGGCGGGGTGATGGAAAGAGGGAGAATGGGGCAGGGTGATGGAAAGCGGGAGAATGGGGCGGGGTGATGGAAAGCGGGAGAATTGGGCGGGGTGATGGAAAGCGGGAGAATGGGGCGGGGTGATGGAAAGCATGAGAATGGGGCGGCGTGATGGAAAGCGGGAGAATGGGGCGGGGTGATGGAAAGAGGGAGAATATGGCGGGGTGATGGAAAGCGGGAGAATGGGGCGGGGTGATGGAAAGCATGAGAATGGGGCGGCGTGATGGAAAGCGGGAGAATGGGGCGGGGTGATGGAAAGAGGAAGAATATGGCGGGGTGATGGAAAGCGGGAGAATGGGGCAGGGTGATGGAAAGCGGGAGAATGGGGCAGGGTGGTGGAAAGCGGGAGAATGGGGCGGGCTGATGGAAAGAGGGGGAATGGGGCAGGGTGATGGAAAGAGGGAGAATGGGGCGGGGTGATGAAAAGCGGAAGAATGGGGCGGGGTGATTGAAAGAGGGAGAATGGGGCGGGGTGATGAAAAGCAGAAGAATGGGGCACGGTGATGGAAAGAGGGAGAATGGGGCGGGGTGATGGAAAGAGGGTTAATGGGGCGGGGTGATGGAAAGCGGAAGAATGGGGCGGGGTGATGGAAAGCGGGAGAATGGGGCGGGGTGATGGAAAGTGGGAGAATGGGGCGGGGTGATGGAAAGCGGGAGAATGGGGCGGGGTGATGGAGCGGGAGAATGGGGCGGGGTGTTGGAAAGCGGGAGAATGGGGCGGGGTGATGGAAAGAGGGAGAATAGGGCGGGGTGATGGAAAGAGGGAGAATGGGGCGGGGTGATGAAAAGAGGGAGAATGGGTCGGGGTGATGGAAAGCGGGAGAATGGGGCAGGGTGATGGAAAGCGGGAGAATGGAGTGGGGTGATGGAAAGCGGGAGAATGGGGCGGGGTGATGGAAAGCAGGAGAATGGGGCGGGGTAATGGAAAGTGGGAGAATGGGGCGGGGTGATGGAAAGCGGGAGAATGGGGCGGGGTGATGGAAAGCGGGAGAATGGGGCGGGGTGATGGAAAGCGGGAGAATGGGGCGGGGTGATGGAAAGCGGGAGAATGGGGCGGGGTGATGGAAAGCGGGAGAATGGGGCGGGGTGATGGAAAGAGGGAGAATGGGGTAGGGTAATGGAAAGAGGGAGAAAGGGGCGGGTGATGAAACGAGGGAGAATGGGGCGGGGTGATGGAAAGCGGGAGAATGGGGCGGGGTGATGGAAAGCGGGAGAATGGGGCGGGGTGATGGAAAGCGGGAGAATGGGGCGGGGTGATGGAAAGCAGGAGAATGGGGCGGGGTGATGGAAAGCGGGAGAATGGGGCGGGGTGATGGAAAGCGGAAGAATGGGGCGGGGTGATGGAAAGCGGGAGAATGGGGCGGGGTGATGGAAAGCGGGAGAATGGGGCGGGGTTATGGAAAGCGGGAGAATGGGGCGGGGTGATGGAGCGGGAGACTGGGGCGGGGTGTTGGAAAGCGGGAGAATGGGGCGGGGTGATGGAAAGAGGGAGAATAGGGCGGGGTGATGGAAAGAGGGAGAATGGGGCGGGGTGATGAAAAGAGGGAGAATGGGTCAGGGTGATGGAAAGCGGGAGAATGGGGCAGGGTGATGGAAAGCGGGAGAATGGGGTGGGGTGATGGAAAGCGGGAGAATGGGGCGAAGTGATGGAAAGCGGGAGAATGGGGCGGGGTGATGGAAAGCAGGAGAATGGGGCGGGGTAATGGAAAGCGGAAGAATGGGGCGGGGTGACGGAAAGCGGGAGAATGGGGCGGGGTGATGGAAAGCGGGAGCATGGGGCGGGGTGATGGAAAGCAGGAGAATGGGGCGGGGTGATGGAAAGCGGGAGAATGGGGCGGGGTGATGGAAAGCGGGAGAATGGGGTGGGGTGATGGAAAGCGGGAGAATGGGGCGAAGTGATGGAAAGCGGGAGAATGGGGCGGGGTGATGGAAAGCAGGAGAATGGGGCGGGGTAATGGAAAGCGGAAGAATGGGGCGGGGTGACGGAAAGCGGGAGAATGGGGCGGGGTGATGGAAAGCGGGAGCATGGGGCGAGGTGATGGAAAGCTTGAGAATGGGGCGGGGTGATGGAAAGCGGGAGAATGGGGCGGGGTGATGGAAAGCGGGAAAATGGGGCGGGGTGATGGAAAGCGGGATAATGGGGCTGGGTGACGGAAAGCGGGAGAATGGGGCGGGGTGATGGAAAGAGGGAGAATAGGGCGGGGTGATGGAAAGCAGGAGAATGGGGCGGGGTGATGGAAAGCGGGAGAATGGGGCGGGGTGATGGAAAGCGGGAGAATGGGGCGGGGTGATGGAAAGCTGGAGAATGGGGCGGGGTGACGGAAAGAGGGTGAATGGGGCAGGGAGATGGAAAGCGGAAGAATGGGGCGGGGTGATGGAAAGCGGGAGAATGGTGCAGGGTGATAGAAAGCGGGAGAATGAGGCGGGGTGATGGAAAGCTGGAGAATGGGGCGGGGTGATGGAAAGCGGGAGAATGGGGCGGGGTGATGGAAAGCGGAAGAATGGGGCGGGGTGATGGAAATAGGGAGAATGGGGCGGGGTGATGGAAAGCGGAAGAATGGGGCGGGGTGATGGAAAGAGGGAGAATGGGGCGGGTTGATGGAAAGAAAGAGAATGGGGCGGGGTGATGGAAAGAGGGAGAATGGGGCGGGGTGATGGAAAGCGGGAGAATGGGGCGGGGTGATGGAAATAGGGAGAATGGGGTGGGGTGATGGAAAGAGGGAGAATAGGGCGGGGTGATGGAAAGCGGGAGAATGGGGCGGGGTGATGGAAAGCTGGAGAATGGGGCAGGGTGATGGAAAGCGGAAGAATGGGGCGGGGTGATGGAAAGCAGGAGAATGGGGCGGGGTGATGGAAAGCGGGAGAATGGGGCGGGGTGATTGAAAGTGAGAGAATGGGGCGGGGTGATGGAAAGCGGGAGAATGGGGCGGGGTGATGGAAAGCTGGAGAATGGGGCGAGGTGATGGAAAGAGGAAGAAAGGGGCGGGGTGATGGAAAGCGGGAGAATGGGGCGAAGTGATGGAAAGCGGGAGAATGGGGCGGGGTGATGGAAAGCGGGAGAATGGGGCGGGGCAATGGAAAGCGGAAGAATGGGGCGGGGTGACGGAAAGCGGGAGAATGGGGCGGGGTGATGGAAACGGGAGCATGGGGCGAGGTGATGGAAAGCTTGAGAATGGGGCGGGGTGATGGAAAGTGGGAGAATGGGGCGGGGTGATGGAAAGCGGGAAAATGGGGCGGGGTGATGGAAAGCGGGATAATGAGGCTGGGTGACGGAAAGCGGGAGAATGGGGCGGGGTGATGGAAAGAGGGAGAATAGGGCGGGGTGATGGAAAGCAGGAGAATGGGGCGGGGTGATGGAAAGCGGGAGAATGGGGCGGGGTGATGGAAAGCGGGAGAATGGGGCGGGGTGATGGAAAGCTGGAGAATGGGGCGGGGTGACGGAAAGAGGGTGAATGGGGCTGGGTGATGGAAAGCGGAAGAATGGGGCGGGGTGATGGAAAGCGGGAGAATGGGGCGGGGTGATGGAAAGCGGGAGAATGGGGCGGGGTGATGGAAAGCAACAGAATGGGGCGGGGTGATGGAAAGCTGGAGAATGGGGCGGGGTGATGGAAAGCGGAAGAATGGGGCGGGGTGATGGAAATAGGGAGAATGGGGCGGGGTGATGGAAAGCGGAAGAATGGGGCGGGGTGATAAAAAAAAAGGGAGAATAGGGCGGGGTGATGGAAAGAGAGAGAATGGGGCGGGGTGATGGAAAGAGGGAGAATGGGGCGGGGTGATGGAAAGCGGGAGAATGGGGCGGGGTGATGGAAATAGGGAGAATGAGGTGGGGTGATAGAAAGAGGGAGAATGGGGCGGGGTGATGGAAAGAGGGAGAATGGGGCGGGGTGATGAAAAGAGGGAGAATGGGGCGGGGTGATGGAAAGCGGGAGAATGGGGCGGGGTGATGGAAAGCTGGAGAATGGGGCAGGGTGATGGAACGCGGAAGAATGGGGCGGGGTGATGGAAAGCAGGAGAATGGGGCGGGGTGATGGAAAGCGGGAGAATGGGGCGGGGTGATGGAAAGCGGGAGAATGGGGCGGGGTGATGGAAAGCGGGAGAATGGGGCGGGGTGATGGAAAGCTAAAGAATGGGGCGGGGTGATGGAAAGCGGAAGAATGGGGCAGGCTGATGGAAAGGGGGAGAATGGGGCGGGGTGATGGAAAGAGGGAGAATGGGGCGGGGTGCTGGAAAGCGGGAGAATGGGGCGGGGTGATGGAAATAGGGAGAATGGGGTGGGGTGATGGAAAGAGGGAGAATGGGGCAGGGTGATGGAAAGAGGGAGAATGGGGCGGGGTGATGGATTGGGGGAGAATGGGGCGGGGTGATGGAAAGCGGGAGAATGGGGCGGGGTGATGGAAAGCTGGAGAATGGGGCAGGGTGATGGAAAGCGGAAGAATGGGGCGGGGTGATGGAAAGCGGGAGAATGGGGCGGGGTGATGGAAAGCGGGAGAATGGGGCGGGGTGATGGAAAGCGGGAGAATGGGGCGGGGTGATGGAAAGAGGGAGAATGGGCCGGGGTGATGGAAAGAGGGAGAATGGGGCGGGGTGATGGAAAGCGGGAGAATGGGGCGGGGTGATGGAAAGCGGGAGAATGGGGCGGGGTGATGGAAAGTGGGAGAATGGGGCGGGGTGATGGAAATCGGGAGAATGGGCCGGGGTGATGGAAAGCGGGAGAATGGGGCGGGGTGATGGAAAGAGGGAGAATGGGGCGGGGTGATGAAAAGAGGGAGAATGGGACGAGGTGATGGAAAGCGGGAGAATGGGGCGGGGTGATGGAAAGCGGGAGAATGGGGCGGGGTGATGGAAAGCAGGAGAATGGGGCGGGGTGATGGAAAGCAGGAGAATGGGGCGGGGTGATGGAAAGCGGGAGAATGGGGCGGGGTGATGGAAAGCAGGAGAATGGGGCGGGGTGATGGAAAGCGGCAGAATTGTCAACGGGAGTTGTGGGGTGGCCCCGTCCTCGCTTGGGCGGAGTCGACTTCGTGGTCGGGTGTGAGGGGAGCTGCCGACCTGCAGCAGTGGGCGAGCTGGTCGACGAGGAGGTCGACCTGCTCGGGGGTCACTGCACGGGCGCCAACTTCAGGATGGCGCCGACTTCAGGGGAGTTTGACTTGGGAGTCGACCTCTGGAGGACGTGGTCGACGAAGGAGGGGCCGACGTCGACCTCGACGCAGGACGCCGAGCAGTGAGACGTCGAGTAGCGGGGCGTCAACTTCGTGACGCCGACCTCGGGAGGCCGACTTGGGTGGTCGGCCGACAACTGCACTGGTCGACGTGAAGCTGGTCGACCAGGAGTGACGTCGACCTCGAGGAGGTCGACCGAGGGTGTGGTCGGCCTGGTGAGGTCGAGTGGAGGTGGCCGTCGACTTGGGAGGTCGACGGGCACGTACGGGAGCTGCTGGTCGACTTGGTTGCCAGGTCGACCAGGTTACCTGGGTGACGAAGTGCTGCGGAGGAGTGCGACGGTCGCCCAAGCAAAGTTGGCGAGCCCGACCTCGGTGGTGGTATCCCGAGGTCGTCGTGGCGGATCAGAGGCAGTCGTCAGCTCGAGGTTGACGTGATGTGTGCGCTGTGCAGGTGACGAGACTCTGCACGCCAATCATCTGCGCGCACCTGCGAAGCGGGTGCTTTGCTGTTCTGCATGAGCAGCGCTCGCACGCCGTCAACCTGCGACGTTGGCACGCCGTCGACCTTACCTTGTTGGAGCGCGGTCGACCTAGTCGTGCTGGAACGCGGTCGACCAAGCTGCGCTGGCAGTTGGCCGACTTGGATGTTTGCTCTGATGTAGTCTAGTGTTGCCAACTTCATTGTATCATTGTTGTCAACCTTCTCTAGTGAAACTCTTGCCAAATTACCCCTTGAACTAGCAAGCAGTATATGCACTAGGAAAACGACTAAGGACCAACGAACGCAGAGATCACACGAGCACCCGTGCCTAGCCCGTAGTCTAGCTCCCGTTGTATTAGTTATCTCCGCAAGAATGGGGCGGGGTGATGGAAAGCGGAAGAATGGGGCGGGGTGATGGAAAGCGGGAGAATGGGGCGGGGTGATGGAAAGCGGAAGAATGGGGCGGGGTGATGGAAATAGGGATAATGGGGCAAGGTGATGGAACGCGGGAGAATGGGGCGGGGTGATGGAAAGAGGGAGAATGGGGCGGGGTGATGGAAATAGGGAGAATGGGGCGGGGTGATGGAAAGAGGGAGAATGGGGCGGGGTGATGGAAAGAGGGGGAATGGGGCGGGGTGATGAAAAGAGGGAGAATGGGGTGGGGTGATGGAAAGCGGGAGAATGGGGCGGGGTGAAGGAAAGCGGGAGAATGGGGCGGAGTGATGGAAAGCAGGAGAATGGGGCGGGGTGATGGAAAGCGGGAGAATGGGGCGGGGTGATGGAAAGCGGGAGAATGGGGCGGGGTGATGGAAAGCGGGAGAATGGGGTGGGGTGATGGAAAGCAGGAGAATGGGGCGGGGTGATGGAAAGCGGGAGAATGGGGCGGGGTGATGGAAAGCGGGAGAATGGGGCGGGGTGATGGAAAGCCGGAGAATGGGGCGGGGTGATGGAAAGCGGGAGAATGGGGCAGGGTGATAGAAAGCGGGAGAATGGGGCAGGGTGGTGGAAAGCGGGAGAATGGGGCGGGGTGATGGAAAGCGGGAGCATGGGGCGGGGTGATGGAAAGCGGGAAAATGGGGCGGGGTGATGGAACGCGGGAGAATGGGGCGGGATGATGGAAAACGGAGAATGGGGCGGGGTGATGGAAAGCGAGAGAATGGGGTGGGGTGATGGAAAGCGGTAGAATGGGGCGGGGTGATGGAAAGCGGGAGAATGGGGCGGGGTGATGGAAAGCGGGAGAATGGGGCGGGGTGATGGAAAGCGGGAGAATGGGGCAGGGTGATGGAAAGAGGAAGAAAGGGGCGGGGTGATTGAAAGTGGGAGAATGGGGCGGGGTGATGGAAAGCGAAGAATGGGGCGGGGTGATGGAAAGCGGGAGAATGGGGGGGGTGATGGAAAGCGGGAGAATGGGGCAGGGTGATGGAAAGCGGGAGAATGGGGCGGGGTGATGGAAAGCGGGAGAATGGGGCGGGGTGATGGAAAGAGGAAGAAAGGGGCGGGGTGATGGCAAGCGGGAGAATGGGGCGGGGTGATGGAAAGTGGGAGAATGGGGCGGGGTGATGGAAAGTGGGAGAATGGGGCGGGGTGATGGAAAGCGGGAGAATGGGGCGGGGTAATGGAAAGCGTCAACTCTCATATAAGAGCGTCAACTCCCCTATAAGAGCGTCAACTTCCCTATAAGAGCATCAACTCCCCTATAAGAGCGTCAACTCCCCTATAAAAGCGTCAACTCCCCTATAAAGGCGTCAGCTCTCATTAAAGAGCGTCAACTCTCCTATAAGAGCGTCAACTCCCCTATAATAGCGTCAACTCTCATAACAAAGCGTCAACTCTCCCATAAACATGTCAACTCCCCTTTAAAAGCGTCAACTCTCATATAAGAGCGTCAACTGCCCTATAAGAGCGTCAACTTCCCTATAAGAGCTTCAACTCCCCTATAAAAGCGCTAGCTCTCCTATAAGAGCGTCAACTCCCCCATTTAAGGGGCAAATCTCATATAAAAGCGTCAACTCCCCTATATGAGCGTCAACTCCCCTATAAGGGCGTCAAATCCCCTTCAAGAGCATCAACTTCCTTATAAGAGCGTCAACTCCCCTATAAGAGCGTCAACTCCCCTATAAGTGCGTCAACTCCCCTATAAAAGCGTCAACTCCCCAAAACGAGTGTCAACTCCCCTATAAAAGCGTCAACTCCCCAATAAAAGCGTCAACTCTCATATAAGAGCGTCAACTCCCCTATAAGAGCGTCAACTTCCCTATAAGAGCGTCATCTTCCCTATAAGAGCGTCAACTCCCCTATATGAGCGTCAACTCGCCTATAAAATCGTCAACTCCCCTATAAAAGTGTCAACTCTCCTATAAGAGCGTCAACTCCCCCATAAACCGTCAACTCTCGTATAAGAGCGTCAGCTCTCCTATAAGAGCGTCAACTCCTCCATAAGAGCGTCAACTCCCCCATAAGAGTGTCAACTCCCCTATAAGAGCGTCAACTCCCCTATAAGGGTATCAACTCCCCTATAAGAGCGTCAACTCCCCTATAAGAGCGTCAACTCCTCTATAAGAGTGTCAACTCCCCTACAAGAGCATCAGCTCTTTTATAAGAGCGTCAACTCTCCTATAAGAGCGTCAACTCTCCCTTTAAATCTTTAACTCTCATATAAAAGTGTCAACTCCCATTTAAAAGTGTCAACGATCATATAAGAGCGTCAACTCTTCTATAAGAGCGTCAACTCCCCTATTAGAGCGTAAACTTCCCTATAAGAGCGTCAACTCCCCTATAAGAGAGTCAACTCCCCTATAAAAGCGTCAACTCCCCTATAAAAGTGTCAGCTCTCCTATAAGAGCGTCAACTCTCCTATAAGAGCGTCAACTCCCCCATAAAAGCGTCAACTCTCACATAAAAGCGTCAACTCCCCTATAAAAGTGTCAACTTCCCTATAAGAGTGTCAACTCCCCTATAAGAGCGTCAACTCCCCTATAAGAGCGTCAACTCCCCTATAAGAGCATCAACTCCCCTATAAGAGTGTCAACTCCCCAATAAGACCGTCAACTCCCCTATAAGAGCGTCAACTCCCTTATAAAAGCGTCAACTCCTCTATAAAAGCATCAACTCTCATATAAGAGCGTCAACTCTCCTATAAGAGCGTCAACTCCCCTATAAGAGCGTCAACTCCCCAACAAAAGCGTCAACTCTGATATAAAAGCATCAACTCCCCCATAAAAGTGTCAACTCTCATTTAAAAGCGTCAACTCGCATATAAGAGCATCAACTCCCCTAAAAGAGCATCAACTCTATAAGAGCGTCAACTTTCCTATAAGAGCGTCAACTCCCCTATAAGAGCGTCAACTTCCCTATAAAAGCGTCAACTCCCTATAAAAGCGTCTGCTCTCCTATAAGTGCGTCAACTCTCCTATATGAGCGTCAACTCCCCCATAAAAGCGTCAACTCTCATATTAAAGCATCAACTCTCCTAAAAGAGCGTCAACTCCCCTATAAGAGTGTCAACTCCCCTATAAGAGCGTCAACTCCCCTATAAGAGCGTCAACTTGCCTATAAGAGCGTCAACTCCCCTATAAAAGCGTCAACTCTCCTATAAGAGCGTCAACTCCCCTATAAGAGCGTCAACTCCCCCATAAAAGCGTCAACTCTCATATAAAAGCGTCAACTCCCCTAGAAGAGAGTCAACTCTCCTATAAGAGCATCAACTCTGCTATATGAGCGTCAACTCCCCTACAAGAGCGTGAACTCTCCTATAAGAGCGTCAACTCCCATATAAAAGCGTCAACTCTCATATATAAGTGTCAACTCCCCCATAAAAGTGTCAACTCTCATTTAAAAGCGTCAACTCTCATATAAGAGCATCAACTCCCCTATAAGAGCGTCAACTCCCCTATAAAAGCGTCAACTTCCCTATAAGAGCGTCAACTCCCCTATAAGAGCATCAACTTTTCTCTAAAAGCGTCAACTCCCCTATAAAAGCATCAACTCCCCTATAAGAGCGTCAACTCCACTAAAAAAGCGCCAACTCCCCTATAAAAGCGCCAACTCTCATATAAGAGCGTGAACTCTCCTATAAGAGTGTCAACTCCCCTATAAGAGCGTCAACTTCCCTATAAAAGCGCCAACTCCCCCATAAAAGCGCTAGCTCTCCTGTGAGAGCGTCAACTCCCCCACAAAAGCGTCAACTCATATATAAGAGCGTCAACTCCCCTATAAGAGCGTCAAATTCCCTATAAGAGCGTCAACTCCCCTATGTGAGCGTCAACTCCCCTATCAAATCGTCAACTCCCCTATAAAAGCGTCAGCTCTCCTATAAGAGCGTCAACTCTCCTATAAGAGCGTCAACTTCCCCATAAAAGCGCCAGCTCTCATATAAAAGCGTCAACTCCCCTATAAGAGCCTCAGCTCTCCTATAAAAGCGTCAACTCCCCTATAAAAGCGTCAACTCTCATATAAGATGGTGAACCCCCCTATCAGAGCGTCAACTCCCCTATAAGAGTGTCAACTTCCCTATAAGAGCGCCATTTTCCCTATAAGAGCGTCAACTCTCCTATAAGAGCGTCAACTCTCCTATAAGAGCGTCAACTCCCCCATAAATGCAACAACTCTCATATAAGAGTGTCAACTCCCCTATAAGAGCGTCAACTCCCCTATAAGAACGTCAACACCCCTACAAGAGCGTCAACTCCCCTATAAAAGCATCAACTCCCCTATAAAAGCGTCAACTCTCATATAAGAGCGTCAACTCTCATATAAGAGCGTCAACTTCCCTAAAAGAGCGTCAACTCCCCTATAAGAGCGTCAACTCCCCTATAAAATCGTCATCTCTCCTATAAGAGCGTCAACTCCCCTATAAGAGCGTCAACTCCCCTATAAGAGCGTCAACTCCCCTATAAGAGCGTCAACTCTCCTATAAGAGCGTCAACTCCCTCATAAAAGCGTCAACTCTCATATAAAAGTGTCAACTCCCCTATAAGAGCGCCAACTTCCCTATAAGAGTTTCAACTCCCCTACAAGAGCGTCAACTCCCCTATAAGTTCGTCAACTCCCCTATAAGAGCATCAACTCCCCTATAAGAGTGTCAACTCCCCAGTAAGAGCGTCAACTCCCCTATAAGAGCGTCAACTCCCTTATAAAAGTGTCAACGCCTCTATAAAAGCGTCAACTCTCATATAAGAGCGTCAACTCTCCTATGAGAGCGTCGACTCCCCTATAAGAGCGTCAACTCCCCTACAAAAGCGTCAACTGTAATATAAAAGCGTCAACTCCCCCATAGAAGTGTCAACTCTCATTTAAAAGCGTCAACTCGCATATAAGAGCATCAACTCTCGTAAAAGAGCGTCAACACCCTAAGAGCGTCAACTTCCCTATAAGAGCGTCAACTCTCCTAAAAATGCGTCAACTCCCCTATAAAAGCGTCAGCTCTCCTATAAGTGCGTCAACTCTCCTATAAAAGCGTCAACTCCCGCATAAAAACATCAACTCTCATATAAAAGCATCAACTCTCCCATAAGAGCGTAAACTCCCCTATAAGAGTGTCAACTACCCTATAACAGCGTCAACTCCCCTATAAGAGCGTCAACTTCCCTATGAGAGCGTCAACTCTCCTATAAAAGCGTCAACTCTCCTATAAGAGCGTCAACTCCCCTATAAGAGCGTCAACTCCCCCACAAAAGCGTTGACTCTCAATTAAATGCGTCAACTCTCCTATAAGAGCGTCAACTCTGCTATACGAGCGTCAACTCCCCTATAAGAGCGTCAACTCCCCTATAAGAGCGTCAACCCCCCTATAAGAGCGTGAACTCCCCTATAAGAGCGTCAACTCCTCTACAAAAGCGTCAACTCTCATATATAAGCGTCAACTCCCCCATAAAAGTGTCAACTCTCATTTAAAAGCGTCAACTCTCATATAAGAGCATCAACTCCCCTATAAGAGCGTCAACTCCCCTATAAAAGCGTCAACTTTCCTATAAGAGCGTCAACTCCCCTATAAGAGCGTCAACTTCCCTATAAAAGGGTCAACTCCCCTATAAAAGCATCAACTCCCCTATAAGAGCGTCAACTCCCCTATAACAGCGTCAACTTCCCTATAAAAGCGTCAACTCCCCCATAAAAGCGCCAGCTCTCCAATGAGAGCGTCAACTCTCATATAAAAACGTCAACTTCCTTATATGAGCGTCAACTCCCCTAAAAACACATCAACTCCTCTTTAAAAGCGTCAACTCATAGATAAGAGCGTCAACTCCCCTATAAGAGCGTCAACGCTCCTATAAAAGCGTCAACTCCCATGTAAAAGCGTCAACTCTCATATAAGAGCGTCAACTCCCCTATAAGAGCGTCAACTCCCCTATAAGAGCGTCAAATTCCCTATAAGAGCGTCAACTCCCTTATATGAGCGTCAACTCCCCAATGAAAGCGTCAGCTCTCCTATAAGAGCGTCAACTCTCCTATAAGAGCGTCAACTTCCCCATAAAAGCGTCAGCGCTCATACAAAAGCGTCAACTCCCCTATAAGAGCGTCAACTCCCCTATAAAAGCGTCAACTCCTCTATAAAAGCGCCAACTCTAATATAAGAGCGTCAACCCCCCTGTCAGAGCGTCAACTCCCCTATAAGAGCGTCAACTTCCCTATAAGAGC